TAGTCTCAGCTACTCAGGAGGCTGAGGCAGAAGAATCACTTGGACCTGGGAGGCAGAGGCTGCAGTGAGCCGAGATCGCATCACTGCCCTCCAGCCTGGGCAACAGAGCGAGACTGTCTCTGGGAAAAAAAAAAAAAAAACTTAGCCGTGCATGATGGCATACATCTGCAGTCTCAACTACCCAAGAGGCTGAGGTGGGAGGATCACTTGAGCCCAGGAGTTCAAGGCTGCAGTGAACTTGAACCGCTGATTGCACCACTGCATCCCAGCCTGGGAGACAAAGTGAGACCCTGTCTCTAAAAAAAAAAAAAAGATCAGATAACCGTCGACCGCAGTCTCAGTTCCACCTGGGCGGATGGCAACCTAAGGTCTCCTCTGCCAGGGTGCCATGGAAGGTGGCGGGCAGAGGTTCCAGGGATTAGGGCGTGAACATCTTTAGGGGTCATTATTCTGCCAATAAAGGCAAGTCTGGGAGGTCAGTGTGAAGCTGTTGTCCAGATACATCTTTTACCAGAACGTGGGGAAGTGGTGTGTCCTGGGGGCAGCAGTCGCAGCTGCCCTTCTTGGGCATCCCAGCAGGCCCCAGGCCTTAGGCCCTGGGATGTCTCTAAGGGGTCATGTCCTCATTGCCCTGTTGACTCTGCCCACTGGGGAAGGCGCCAGGCACGGGGGCCGAGGCCGAGGGGCCTGTCTCCCAGGACATAGATAGGGGTGGCAGGACCCCCGGTTTGTGGTGAGAAGCCAGGGCCTGCAAGGGCCCCTCTCGTCCTCCCTGCGCCTCCCGCCCTGACAGCTTTCTCTTTTTCTTTTAGAAAATTGATGCTACAAGAACCATTGGAGAAACTGGGATTTGGAGACTTGATTGGTGGAAAATCAGAGGCAAAAAAATGAATTTTGATGAGAAGACCCCTAGGCTGTGTTCAGTGGTCTCTCGGGACGGAGGGCATCATCCTGCCTCTTAGGTCGGCGAAGGCCTGCGTGTAGTGTCCTTAGAAACAGGCTTCAAATAGAGGCTCCATCCCTGTGGGGGCGTCTCCTGGGTAGGGAAGTGGCGTCCTGTTTTCCCTTAGGAGGGTGTTTCTGCATTGAACCCCTGAGTGGGACGGCGTTCCCTGCAAGGCTGGGAGGGAGGGGAGCATGGGGCAAGACCCTCGTCTTCGAGGCCGGGGCCCTCTTGTATGGGGCGGTTTTATGTTGCAGTCCTCTGATACTTTCTGAGTTCAAACAGGTAAATGTGCATAAATTTCAGTCCCTTCTGAACACAGATATCATCAGGAAATCACCATTCCCTAGCAGGATGTTTTCATGTTTGTATTCGTATATGCTAGTTCATTTCCTTAAAGAAAGAAAAAAAAAAAGTGGAACACAGAGTAGGAAGTGAGAACCTTCTGGCTTTGGATGGATTTGACTCCTTGATTCTTTCTGGTTTTGCCTGAATACCAAGTAGCTTCATGATCAAAGGGTCATTTTCTGATTTGTATCAGACCATATTTATAAAGCTGGGTATTTAATTTCAATAACTCCTATATTTTAACAGAAAAAGAGAACCTGAGTCCATTTGCAGGCTCGCACCAGCTGTCTTCTGTGCCAGTGAGCTCTGCCTAAGATCCCTGGCACATATTCGCAGCACGGCCTGGCCCCTGAGCAGAGTTCTCAGCCCGTCTGCGCCAGAGTTGCCTGTGGGTCACGGAAACCCAGCCCGGGTCCACCCAGTGCATCAGGCCAGCCGGGGCCCAAACCTGTGGATGGAACGCAGGTGCTTGCACATCTGCGGCCTCAGCCAGACCTGTCCCCTTCCCAGGCGTTGTTGGAAAGGGGCTGGCTCCTGTCTGGTCAGTGGAGGGCGGTGGCAGGAGATGGGGTGGGAGGATCCAGGTCACGTCCTCTCTGGCGACCCTGGCAGTGGCTGTCTCTAAGCCCTGGCAGGTGGGGCCACCAGCCTGGCCGACCTCGGGCTCCAGGAAACAGGCTGCCCTCACCCCTCCTGCCTGTGGGTGGCTGAGGCTTCTCAGCCCATCTCCAGTTCTCTGCAGCAAAGGCCCTCTGTTTCTGTCCTGCAGTGGTGGCCCTTTTGTGGTTAAACATGTCCCCCCTCCCCACAGAACTGAGTACTTGTTGCGAGTGGGCCCGCCCAACCCTGTGTCCCTGCACCCATGGGTTCTACGACTTGCTTCCGCTGCAGCTGTCACTATCCCGTGTCTGCTCTCTGTCAGGCCTCTAAGTGCTGCAGACATATTAACGTATCACCGCTAGTTTGAAAAGTCTTATTTGTTATCAGAATATTTCGTGTAGGCACAGGGTTGCCCCAGCACTGTTTGTGGCAACCCCAGTGGCCTCACAGCATGCGGGAGCCGTGACACAGCCACCGTGGAGTCCACGCTGACACGGTGCAGCCATGTGCCATGAGCTCACCGACGCAGTGCGGCTGTGTGGCGTGAGCTTACTGTGAAACGGAGACAGGGACATAGGAAACTACAAAGGAGAACCCCAGAAGGAGGAGCCGGAGCTGATGGGCGTGGCCGGCCGCGAGCCCCTCCGAGCACCCCTGGGAGTGGAGTTCTGGCTGTCATGGCAGAGGGTTTCACATGCTCAAAAAGTAAACGAACCAGGATATGAGGGGAACACAACAGGCCGTGCCCACGGAGCGCCTGGGCCCAGGCCGGGGCCTCTTCACACCGCACTCTGACCCACCATCGGGAGTGCTCGGCCGGGGCTGGGGCCTGCCTCTTCCCTTGAACCACACTCTGACTCGCTGATGGGTGCCCCGGGGCCAGAGCCTTCCTCTTCGTGCCGCACTCTGACTCGTCAGGAGTGTGGGGCAGACTATGGACCAAAGCTGGGAGAGACAGGAAAGATACTGCACTCTAGGGAGTGAATTTCTTTTTTCCGTGTACGATTCTGAAGCTATATTCTGAGATGGAAAAAACTAGAAGTACATTGTGGATGATAAAAGGCAGGCGTATTGATCTCCTGCTTTTGTAACATACAAAGGTACCTGGATAGAGAAATAGAGTGGTCGCTGTCACCTGCCCAGGGTATCCTCTGAGACCCCAGCGGATACCTGAAGCCGCGGATAGTCCTGAATCCTGTCCCATGTTTTTTCCTGTACGTACCTGTGATCAAGTCTGAGGTGTGACCGCAAAACTGACAGAACTTTCTGCTTCCTCTTCAAAATGTCACAGGTCGGAGCTGTGTTCTTACGGAAGATCTTAGCAACCTCGGCATATGGCAGTTTTAGGTCAGGAGTTTCCACCTTTTCCCTTAAAGGAAGCGCTTGGCAGCTTCTCTGGTATGTCTGAGTCGCCTGCATCACCACTCTTGTGCTTTGGAGCCATTATTAAGTAAAATAAAGGCTTCTTGGACCCAGGCGCCACATCACCGTGACGGTAGGTCTGATCACCGAGATGGCTACTGAGTGCCTGGCAGGCAGGGTGGCGTGGACAGCCTGGAATGCTGGACAGGGGGAGGGTTCACGTCCCGGCAGGACAGCTGCTCAGAACAGCATGGAATTGAAAACTCATGAATGGTTTATTTCTGGAATTTTCCACTTAGTATTTTTGGAGCGTGGCTGACCATGGGTAACTGAAACTGTGTGTAAAGGGGACTATTGTGAGGGGCTGTGCACAAATGCTTCCCAGCTCTGCCCTGAAGGCCTGAACGCGGCGCCCCCCACACTCAGGGTCTTGGCCCTGATACCATTCTCTAACCAAAGGAACCAGGGCCAGGCCAGAGAAGGTATTGGATAAGCCAGAGAGTGAAGAATTGCTGAGATGAAGGGGCTTACTGAAATAATACTGGGGGATAGGAAGGAGCACACGATGGCCAACCTGGGGCAATTTGAGCATGAAAATAAACAGGCCGGGCCCGGCAGCTCATCTGCAATTCCAGCACGCTGCGAGGCCGAGGTGGGAGGATCGCTTGAGGCCAGGAGTTCAGCGTGAAAATAAACAGGCTGGGCGCAGTGGCTCACACCTGCAATCCCTGCACTGTAGGAGGCCAAGGTGGGAGGGTCACTTGAGGCCAGGAGTTCGAGACCAGCCTGGGCAACATGGTGAAACCTGTCTCTACAAAACATAAGAAAAATCAGCTGTGTGTGGTGTCACCCGCCTGTAGTCCCAGATACTCAGGAGGCTGAGGTGGGAGGATCACGTGAGCCAGAGGTTAAGTCTGCAGTGAGCCACGATTATACCACTGCTCTGCAGCCTGAGCAACAAAGCAGGACCTTGTCTCACAAAAAAAAAAAAAGAAAATTAATTATTGTAATGGGCTGTAGCTCACAGAATAAATTGGTATCCACTAGTCTATACAAAATAAGTAATTGGGTATCAATGAGGAGAGGGCCAGGTCTGTCTTATTAATTCTAATGTAGAAGGAATTTTGGGAACAGGAAATCGCTATTGCAGAAACCACAGTGGTGACGGGTGCAGATTACAACCCTCAGTGGGCCAGGCGTGGTGGCTTACATCTATAATCCCAACACTGGGAGGCCAAGGCAGGCAGGTCACTTGAGGCCAGGAGTTCGAGACCAGCCTGGCCAACATGGAGAAACCCCGTCTCTACTAAAAATACAAAAATTAGCTGGGACTGGTAGCGCATGTCTGTAATCCCAGCTACTCGGGAGGCTGAGGTGGGAGAATCGCTTAAACCAGGAGGCGGAGGTTGCAGTGAGCCGAGATTGTGCCACCGCCCTCCGGCGTGGGCGACAGAACTGTCTCAAAAAAAAAAAGAACCCTCAGTTGACATGAAGCGAGTGGTGAGGTGTGGTGTGAAGCAGGTGTCTGCTGAGTCTTGAGAAACCTTCCCTTGAGATGTGTACTCCCTCCAAGGAGACAGTGGTCACATCACAGCAGAGCAGCGGAAGCCCCCCTAACCCAGCAGTCACTGCCGGGAGCGAGCCACACAGGCAACAGCGACCTGGTGACGTCACTGCGAGCACGGTGTCACCTCTGTTTCTCTTGCCCAACTGCATGACCTGAATGTAATCCCGAGGAGACATCAGACACAGACCCAGACCGAGGGGCCTTCTGCGAAGTGACTGCCAGCGCTCACCCAGTGTTATGTAAGATGTTATTTGGGGAACCGGGTATACACACCGTCCTATTTTTGGAACTTTTTGGAAGTCTGAAATTATTTTGAAATGAGAAAAAATATGCTTTGTATGAAACTGTAGTGGAATAGATTGAGTCGATTTTCATTTCGAAAATAACTTCAAAGAGTTTCCAATAGGGACGATGCCGGCATGAATGGTTTCAGCAGGTCACAGGCTGAGAAGCCTGAATCCCAAAATAGCGCCCTTGTGTGGACAGCCGGACTCCTTACAAACGCGCAGTAGCTTCCCGACGCTGCCTCTGATTTTCTGGGTCTGGCTGCTGAATGCGCTGTGCTTAAGAATCCAGACACCCTGTTGTTCCTGCCAGAGCTTCTCACAAGATATTTCGGGTAGTTCATCATCTGTCGTGTGCAGAATGCATTTTACTTCTCATACACGCTTGTCATGATAAGCTGGCCACATTATTAAAAGGCTCCCAAAGACAATTTCCAGAACGTTTTCCA